TAGCTTGCCTCATATCATATAGTACTATATTCCTGTCAGAAGCCAACTTCCCAAGAGAAATGTCTCAATTGGGTTAAATTTAACACTACTTATACTGTCGAATCCCCAGGTCATTGAACATACAGGACTTGTTCTTTGTTCATCCCAAATGTCCACTTGCTGTCCACATGTGGCAAAAACAGCTTCTTTCCAGTGATAATCAATTCCCGTATACACTGTCTTTCCTAATATTGTATGCAATGGTTCCTCCTCTTCTCCATAGCCCGGTCCATCCATTTTCCACTGCTTCACAGTTTTGTCATCACCAACAGTAAAAAAAGAAGTCCCACAAAAGCGAGTACATATTCCTCATACAAAACCTTCATGTGCTTGTATTGTACAGATACATTTTCGTTTAGTCAAGTTCCAGATTCTAACCTCTCCAACACATGCCCCAGAAAGGACAGTAGCCAGGCTCTTTGGATGCTTTGCCAAGCAATTGACTCCATCTCGGTGACCATCCAGAGAAGCAAGGAATGGTTTTGCAAATACCCGTTCCAGTTTGGTAGCATTTAAAGCTCTTACGTATTCTCGTGGGACCTCAAAAGGATGTAAGGTAGGATCATAGTTTCTTGGAACTCTTTGTAAGTCCAGCTTGGTTTCACGGACATAGTTGTCCGGGTTCCGGCTCAGCATCTTCACCTTCATTTTGGAGGCTAGTTGTCCCAGACCCCCTAAGCCTTTCCTCCGCGTTCAGGTTACCCCCGCCTCCTCAGCCACATGCTCTTGTCATGGCTGATCTTAATGAGTTCTCCCAGTAACCCAGAAAATGGATATTTTATTATTACCTCCATTTAAAAAATTTGGGAGGCTGGGTGGCTCTATGAGTTGAGCATTTGACTCTTGGTTTTGGTTCAGGTCATGATCTCAGGCTTGTGAGATTGAGCCCCATGTTGGGCTCTGCAGTCAGCATGGAGTCTGCTGGAGATTCTCTCCCTCTACCCCTTCTCTCTCTCTCATAAATAAATAAATCTTTTTTTTTTTT